CCTGGAGTGGTACATATGATGGTTTGATCCATTGAACGGACCAGGATTCCGCTGTTGTCCATTGGTGAGTTTATCATCTTATCGACTTAGGTAGACAGGAATACGGAAATCGACATAGTGATTATGAGTAGAGGGTGGGTACAGAAACAGGACGGGAAAAAAGACATGTAATGTGAGTGCGTCGGGTAACGGGAGAAATGTTATCTTTGTCGTAATAGCCGTGAACAGCTGAGGCAAGCTAAAAGGATATTAGTCAGTCTAGAACAACAGTATTGACGAAAAGTAACTGGACGCACCTACTTGGGACAATTGTCACAATAGATTCAAACGCGCTCGCGAGGAATGTCGATCTTGGCGAGCTTAAGCCGCTGGTAAGCGTACTTGGCAACCTCAACAGCATCCCTCGCCCCATTAAGCACACACTGAGCCATCTCCAACTTCTCATCTCTCTTCCCCCAAAGTCCACCACCCTGCCCACCTCCACCCCGCTCACCGCCAACTCCCACTCCAGGACCTTGAAAGCGCAAATCACTACAATACTTCCTACACTTCTCAAGCAGTCTCGCCTGTCTCGCAAAGTCTGCTTTAGCAAGAGCAACAGCTCTCTCAAGCGCAGCATTGATCTGCTCAGTGGTGTAAGCACCAAAACGGAGGTCATGGATGAATTGGTCAAATGTGCGGTGACGATCCTGACGATTGAGAAGGCTACACTCGCGCAGAGCGTCAGGAGTCCAGAGGAGTTCCATGGGGAGAACAACCGCTGGGTCATCTTTGTCATCCCCAATACCTGGGGTGGGTGTGTTGGGTGTGGTAGCGTTGGGCTGTGGAGTGATAGTCCTGTAGCGACGAGGGTTATCAGGCTCTGTGAGCTTAGATGGGCCCCTGCGCGTATTGGCATCATGTCTGTAAGTTCCGGAAGTCGAAGGGGTCATGTTTGTAGTAATCCTGAGAGGTGGGCAACGGCGGTAGATGTGAGGAGGCGAATGAACGTCCGATACCGTGTTGAAAACGTGACGTTGTGTAACAAGCATTCCAAGTCCAAGGGGGGAAAAAACCAGACCGAGCTTGTGAGACAAACCCTTTATACTCCCTTTCTAAACGCGGAGTCAGGTGCCATCAACAGGGCTTGTGTGTCCAAGCTGTGATTATGAGTCAGAACGTTTTCGGGCGTCGTGTGGGCGCGCTAGATAGGCCAAGATGAATTAAAATGGTGTTCGGGAAAAGTTGGAGTCAATTGAACGTTCAACAATATTTTTATTTCATACCAATTGGGGCAAACAATAGTTGTGATATCCCAAAGCGGAAACAGGAGAATAAAGAGCGCCGGGTCCGAAAGAAGCATCACGAGTTGCATCGATATGGGGCTGTGCAAATTCCCACGCCTACCATTTCAACCAAAATGCACTGTGGGCGCCTATGGTTAGAAATGCTTGGAAATGACTAGATGAACGGACGGACCTAGATACTACTGAGCAGCACGCTGCTCCTCAACAACAGCCTCGGCGCCTTTCCAAACCTCCGCGATATCGCCCCAAAAGCTTAACGACAAGTCCAGCATTACAGGTATAATGTGCCGTTGTCGAAGAAACACCAAGCGGGGTTCCTCCATATACTGTGACTTCCATTCTTCGGGGTTTTCTTGCTTCATCGTAAAGAAAATGCAAACGCGGAAGGACTCTCGTTCAAAAGGAACGATGGTGGTCGGAATGCTCTTCGTCGAGCTTGCAAAATGCGTGATGGCAGGAAAGTGGCGAAGGTCCAAAGGTTCTGCGAGTGTCCCGTAGTAAAGGAGATGTGTTAGGTTCTGCCAACGCAGATTAGGGTGCGACGTTGAATAGTTCATGATCTCGGTCATATAGCCAGTGATGAAATAGAGCTGCTGGAGGGGAAGAGCAGTAATAGCCCGTGCAAGCTCTTCTGAGCAGTGATTAGGTTGACGAGTGAGTAGGTGTGTGACGTTTGGCATAGCCTTGAGACAGCCAGTCGTGAGAGTATCTTTTCCTTCGCCAACAACGAGATATTTCGTCAGTTTGCAATTTTCCCGCATGTTTGTGTTCTTGGGACTAAGTGTACCGAAATATTTCAGTCGGGGTCCTTCAGTGGGATAGAGGTCCGTGAGTATCATGGAATTGTAGAGTTGAGGGTAAAGCCTTCACTGGCTATGAGTCGCAGTGCGTTATGATAACATGTGACATGTTACATACCAGTAAAAAGCTCTCTTTGATACACGAAGAAGTCGGGATGTAGTCTTTGGGTCGTTAAATGCGGCCATTTTGAATATATGTTGCTCTAGTTCAACAGGAAGTTTAGCGTCGCCTTCGATGACTGATACCGGAGACTGGGTGTTCCCATACAGCGCAGAGGTGATGTAGTACAAGGCATTCATGTTGGGATTGATGAAGCGACGAAAGACAAGGGCTGAGTTTTTATATGTTCGGTGTCGTGGCGCGTCGTGGCATGCGGACGATGCGATACGCGAGGATCAGTTGAGGCGGGGTACGTCAAGTAGTAAAAGGCGACAGGAGTGCTACGTTGAAGATGATCGTTATTCCAAGTATAGTCAGAGGAGATGCAACAAGGGACAGCGGGACTTTGAACAGAACGTGAGATGGACGTCGAAGCAGAAAGTCGGTTGCAGAAGCGCCCCTTGGTTGGAACTTCCATCACCGCTCTTCTTCTTCCCCATTTGTTCCTCCAATGTCCTCCAAACGCAAATGGGACGACCAAGGCGCCTCGGATATTCCTTCCACACCTTCAAAAGCCCAGAAAACTGACGATTCAAAAAGCGCTAACGAAGCGGCAGCGCAAGCAGCGGCCATTGCTGCCAAAATTGCTGCCCAATTTGCCTCTGGTGCTCTTGGAAATGGCTCTTTGATTGGTGCCAAGGATCCTCACGATGGAGAATTCGTCCAGGACATTGATATTAACGAGGTTCGCAATCGATACATGTTGACCAAAGGCTCAACCCAAGAAGAGGTCAGTCGTAACTGTTTCATTTCAATTATCTCGTTCTCACAATGTCATTTCTAGATTATTCAAGAGACTGGTGCCTCTATCAGCACAAAAGGGACGTGGTTCCCCGACCGTTCAAGGGCAACACCGGACAATCCAGCTCTCTACTTGCACATTTCGGCTACCACAAAAGACTCTCTTCAAAAAGCCATCGACCGAATCAACGAGCTTATTTCTATTGAACTTGGCTCCCTTGTCGAAGAAAAAGGTCCCCGCGACCGTCAGAAGGTATGAGCCGTATTCTCCGTTTGACTCATTTCCTAAATTGGTGTTGTTTTTCTCTTCCCTCAGCGTAAATGGCCTGAGGAAAAACTTCCTGTTGGTTTAGAATCTATCCGGAACTTCAACGTCCGCGCAAAGGTTGTTGGACCACAAGGTCTCTTCGTCAAACACATCCAACAAGAAACCCAGACACGAGTTCAGATCAAGGGAATAGGCTCAGGATTCGTGGATCAGGAGACTGGAAGAGAGAGCGACGAGCCTCTTTACATTCATATCACGTTAGTGCTTCTTTCACTCCTCGTTTCGTACCCGCTGATTCCAACAATGGTTTTATAGTGGGCCAGAGCAAGGACAGGTGGACCGAGCCAAAGTCTTAACAGAGGATTTACTTCTTGTTGTTCGTCAGAAGCACGCTGAAGCTAATTCAGCGGCGCAACAACACCAGATGGAGCTCCACCAGGCTCAGCAACAATATGCTGCCTACTCTGTTCGTCCCCTTTGCTCTTGGTACATCATCTGCATCGCGTTCTGACACTCTTGTTTTGCAGGGTTACGCACCACCCCAAGCGGGACAGACAGCTGCCTCGGCTCAGTATGCAAGCCCTGAAGCTTTTGCTCAATACTGGTACGTCCTTGTCCTTTCCTCCTGACTCCCTACTGAATATTTATTTAGGGCTGCATACGGCTACGACGTCAACTCTCAACAGTTCAAAGATTGGTCGGCCCAGCAGCTTGCGCAGTATGGCCCACAAGCACAGGCAGCAGCAGCTGCCGCTGCTCAACCTCAACAACCCGCAGGAGCACCTCCCCCTCCTCCACCTGGTGCTGCACCACCGCCTCCACCAGGCGAAGCACCTCCTCCACCTCCAATGTGATTTACGCTACCTTTGTTGCTGCATCTTATCTAGTTCGCGTATGCTTAGTCGCGACTATTATATATCAGTCTTGAGCACTCTGTTTGCTTTACTTCGAGGGACAGGTGCTGTATACGTGTGGTTACTAATTGTACCTTTTTTTTCTTTTGAAATGGGTTAGTACCTTTGGTATTTTCAGTCATGTAGAATCTTCGGAGGATCATGATCGCTTCTTCACGTTTGTATCCTCCATATGATGGATAAGGAGGATGAACTGGGTGGACCAACCTTTTTTCCAAATGTTAGGTCCGAACTGAAGCAGATGGAAAAGGCAAACGTTTCGTTGACCCCCAATACACTTCCATTCCCACCGAACCTCTCATTTCCGCATCCAAAGTAGACTTCTTTGATCCCAATTTGACGAAGAGCTGAAGCACACATCATACACGGTTCGACAGTGACATAGAGCGTTGTATCTCGAAGCGGATATTTCTCTCTACGTTCTGTGGAGGACATAGAAGCGAGGATGGAATCAATCGCTTCCAGTTCAGCGTGTCTTGTCGCCTATATACTCCCTCAAAATAAATTAAAAGGGAGGGGAATCCCTAGGGAGAGACACCTTACATTCCCAAGTTCATTCGTCCGATTCCGAGCACGAGCAATGCATTCCCCATTTCGAACAAAGACACAACCAACGGGAACTTCTAATGCATCCATCGCCTCTTGAGCCTTTTTCAGAAAACATCAGAAATAAGTAAAGGAGAACAAAGTTAACAAATAGCAAACCATCGTCATCGCTTCGGTCATCCAGTCAAGATGAACTTGTTCTTGGTCTTCGGCCATGATGATGATCGTAAGAACAAAAGAACAAAACAAAACAAAAACGGTTTCAAATAGCAAAAAACATTGCTTCTGCCCCCGTGAGGCTCGAACTCACGACCTTCCGATATTGGCCAGACGACTCGTACAACGCGGGCACGTCGCACAAATCATCAGGTAACAGTCGGACGCTTTGACCAACTAAGCCAGGGGGCAAGCGCTTTCTTTCAACGTTTTTGAAACGTGAAAAGTAGGTAGAGCAGGACGGTTGTCAAGAATGAGAATCTGTTACCTCCAACTAAAGCCCTTATTATTGTCTTATTCCTCATAGAACCACAAATTTTTGATTCTTTGATTTTTATTATACCACAGAGCGTAGAGTTTTGATCGACAGTGTACTGTATATTTTCGGCCACAGCCTAATCTAATCCTAACCAAGAGATTTGACGTGAAGATATTTGGTACTTTCCAATCACTAACTGGGCAGTCCGAAGGGGGTTCATATCAGAAGCGTAATATCGTGGCTTCGCCTGTGCCGTACTAGTGATCAGCAAAATGAAGCTATCATCACATTTCCTAACTGCCCTTTGGGGAGGTCAAGTTCGCAAATGTTGAAATTTATACCTGATCCTAGTGGTATCCGAAGGCCCCATTGTCTCAATCCGCGATACCGAAAGTTAGATCTAAGCAACTCACGACGTAGTAAAGCTGACTTCGAGAGGATAACAGATTATTGGGCTGGAGATCTGCGTCGTCTCTTTTTAAATAGAACCACATTTACCTCCATAACTCTCCATTCGATTAATAGCACACATATGCGCCGTAACGAGAAGATGGTGTCATTCCTTATCCATGCGACCATATAAGCTACTGTCACAGTGAACTACCTTCGCGGACGGTGCCGCATCATCACCTAACCAAGGAAAACAATAATCGAACAGTGTAGGGCACGGAAAGCCACAGATATAGACAATACAGCCAGCCAATGAAACATAGTAGGCCCAATATTGCACACAATACACTGTATCTGCGTGGCGTTGGATTTTTGCGATAACTTTGCAGATTCTTCAAATATAGCTTGGCGTGTGGATGGTCAGAGCCGAGAACCTGTTTGCTGAGCTCCACGACTTGTTCTTGAAGCTTTAAAGCGTCAGAATGTCGAGCGAGATCGGAATAAGTAATGGCAAGGTAATGCATGCTCCTCAATGTGCTTGGATGATCTGAACCAAGGATGCGTTTCCGCAATTCCACAACCTCCCCCTTCAGTTTTAGAGCATCGGCATGTCGAGCCAGAGAGGAATATGTGACAGCAAGGTTGTGCATACTCATCAAAGTGTCTGGATGCTCTGGGCCAAGGATGTGCACCCGGAGTTCTACAACCTCTTCTTTAAGCTTTAGAGCATCATTATTCCGCTTTAGATGAGAGTAAGTGGCGGCAAGGTTGTTCATGCTCCTTAATGTGCTTGGATGCTTGTGGCCAAGGATGCGCCTTTGCTGCTCCAAAACTTCCTCCCTGAGCTTCAGAGCATCGGCATGCCGAGATAGGTGAGTATAAGTTACGGCAATGTTGCTCATGCTCGTCAATGTATCCGGGTGCTCTGAGCCAAGGATGCATCTCCTTATTTCCAAAACTTTCTCCTTGAGCTTCAAAGCATCAGAATAACGAGCGAGATTGGAGTACGTGGAAGCAAGACTGCTCATGCTCCATAATGTGTCTGGATGGTCCGAGCCAAGGATGCGTACCTGCAGTTTCACAACTTCTTCCTTTAGCTTCAAAGCATCAGCATTCCGAGCTAGACAAGAATAAGTAACGGCAAGGCTGCTCATGCTCATCGCTGTGTCTGGATGTTCTGGGCCAAGGATGTGGGTCCGCTGCTTTACAACCTCCTCTTGGAGTTTCAATGCATCAGCATATCGAGTAAGATAATTGTAATTCTTGGCAAGATTATGCATGCTTAATAAAGTGTGGGGATGCTCAGATCCGAAGTTGCTTTGTTTGGCTTCCAGGTCTTGTTCGAAGACAGAAGAAGCTTCAGCATACAGTCCGCCGTCCTGGAGAGTTTGTCCTGCACATGAAAGATACGAATGGTGGAGCTGAAGGCCTGATTCTAGGCTATTGCGAAAATGGAGCAGTAATGATTTTCGTGCAGAATAATCAGCGATACCTAGCCCAGTTGGTGTAGCTAAGGCTAATATTGTCTGCGCTGCGCGAATGACGCCGTCAATGGCGCGAGAGCAGTGCTGAGCCCATTGCTGCACAAGCGGATGCAAGGTGACCACCTGATTGAGCGAGTCGAATTCTACAAGAGAGAATGATCGTACTTCTTCAATCAGCTGAAGAAAACGATATTCATCCCATGTTGAATTCTCAGTGGTGAAATTGGAGAGGAAGTTGGTGAGCCCTATAGGGACATTTGACCCGCGATCACCCGGTTCCAACTCCATAAGACTTTGGCACGCACAACTGAAAATGAAAACCGGGATGCCTTCGTGGTGCATGAAGCAAATGATCTGAAGGAATGTCTTAGCGGATTCCGAGAGGCACTTGAAACTGATGCTCCATGTCGTGTAGACAGTGTATGTGTAGCTATCAGTTGACAGAGTCTGAGTTGGGTAATCGCGAAGAAGTCTTTCACAGTTGTCTCTGTAAAGTCGTAGATAGTGGGGTAGTGCGCAGGTGCCTTTTGAAAGAAAAGCACGGGCCTGGTTGATTGCAAGGGCAAGACAGCCTAATACCTGTGGAACATTAGCCTATGGCTCTGCCAAACTAACAGTGTGAATGGACCTCAACAATTTCGGTTGCATGGGCGTTCCTATCAACACATTCAGGAACATATACACCCCGAAGGAGCAACTCTTTCGCGTCTGCTTGGTCCAGACGGTCAATTTGGCAATGGCAATCTGGGGCAAGGTCTCCAACATGATGATTTCGAGTTGTGATGAGAACATTCCCGTGCCGACGATGAATATACTGGCTAAGATTGAGTTGAGGGTTGTCAGCGTTGTCGAGAAGAAGTAGCCATTCATCAGATCGCCCTTCCAGATAACGAAGACCGTCTTCAAAAGTTTCACCTGCATCTTTGGCTTGAGCGATGTTTTTGAATCCAGTCTCAAGAGAAACCTGGTCCGAAGCATCGAGGAAGAACACCTCGGTAAATCTAAACAGCGATAAGAAATAGCAAAGATGAAGAGGTGGAAAAATTGACCGATTCTCATCCAAACTCAGTTGAACAAACATGAAACCACATTGCGTCTTGCCCGCTCCACCAAGCCCTGACAGAACAGCAATATGGAATTGATATGCTTTGTTGGAAAAGTATGTTCGCAGCTTCGAGAGGTGCTTCTTTTGGCCAACAAAGTGCAATGTAGGAGCAGGGCAATTCTTGAGGCACACGGTCTTGGCCACAGCGGAGATTTGGCCAGCAATGACAGCCGCAGGAGTGCAGCCCTTCGCCGTAGCTAGGACTTTAATCATGGCGTCGACATCATTATTGGCTCGTGATGTCTGCAGATACGAGTTGGTGGAAGCAGTGATTTTCGTGAGCTCTTGAATATCGGTTGGGTCAATATCCTCCATCCCTTGTTCAACACTCAGCCTCCAGTACAGATCGGGAACCTTGCTAAAGCGACGGAACAAGTCGTTCGCAACTTGTTCACAGTCTTCGTTAATTCTTCTAAAGAGGTTGTTATTTTCTTCAGAGAGGGAGAGGACTCGAGGGTGACCAGAGCCAACACTGATAATGCATGCAACATCGTGGCCAGCGAAGATATTGGCTACTTCCATAGTAAGTTCATGAGTTGGATTATTCCATCGAACTTCGCCCCCAATGAACCGCTCTCCAACCTGCGTGGAACCGATGGCGATGGAGTCGAAGATGCCAACAAGAACGCATGTAGCCACGGCTGCTTCCCAGACCTTACAGTCAGGACTGGCGTTGCTTCGAACTTTGTAGTTACGCAGGAGACGAGGAGAAGACATGTTATCTGGTGACACAACGCAGACGAATCTAAGAAAAGAATTAAGGCCATGGATGAAGATGCAACAGTGAGACACTTTACACTTTGCATGGACTTGCATTGGAAATCATTCTCCTGTCCTCTCCCTGTTCTCGTGTAGAGTATTTCTTGACGATGCACTTGATCTCCAACTCGAGACGCGCCGTCCTCTTCTCCGCACTCGCATCGCAGGAGAAGACCGCGAGAGATAGAGCGGTAAATTCGTCAACAAGCTCCTTCCCTGTCATTCCGAGTATGCCAGTCATAATAGCAAGTAAGCTATGTATAATATTAACGTAAAATAATTAACAAGTAGAAGGAGACTTGCCCTCCAAACCCAGATCCGCAAACCATGTCAAAGTAGTCTGCTACTCGTGGCGGTGGTGGTGCGGGACGAGGAGCATCCGACCTATCACCATTGCGGCCATAAGCAATTCGATCCATTGTTTCCTGTAAGATTTTGGCTTGAGAGAGGGCTCGGAGGCCACCGCCATCTTTTATGTAAATGGAGGTTCAGCGAGAGGAAAACAAGAGCTCAGGACGGACAACCTCACCAAATGACAGTAACCTCAAACCTCGAGGAATGGAGGGCGGGTCCTGAGACATACTAGCAAACCGCCAAGAGTTTCGAACAATAGATAAGCAGATGGACGACAAAATCAGTCGAACCAGACAATACAGCTATTATGAGAGATGAGGGTTTTGTTCAACTGCCATGCATGTACCGCTTTTTCCAACTGACATTTCTAGCCGGCAAAACTTGAGGTTCCAGTCCAGCCGACACTCAAGCCAGCCACTAGCTGTCTCTTCACAAACAACGGAGAATTTGTGTATCTTGGAAACTGTATGCCACATCAGCCAGTGCAGAACTTGCGAAGAGTCATAACTTAGCATTTCACTTTTGCGTTACATGCTTGTACCAAGTACCATGAACGTTTAAGTCAAGTAGATACTTTGAAAGAAAACTCTGGGTAAGATTTGAAGGCAAGCGAGAAGAAAGCCTTCAATCAGCCAGGGAAACATCAACATTAATATTGACATTCATGCTACCGTGTGTACTATCACCCAATAAAATACTAGACCTAATATCGCCCACAATACACTGTATATTAATAGATTTGGATTTTGGCGATAGTTTTGCAGATTCGTTAAATAAAGTTTGGCGTGCAGATGATTACGGTCGAGAACCTGCATGCTAAGCTCCACAACTTCTTCTTGAA